GCCACCGCCGCCGCCTCCATCCGCCATTATTCTTTGTTCGCTGCGCGGGACCGGCGGCCGGGCCGGGCGAGGCAGCGGCGGCGGCAACGGCTCTGGGGGTGTAGGTGTTGTTGTGGCCGTTGTGCTTTCCCCACGGAGATGGGGGGCCGCTCGGCTCGGCTGCTGCCCGGCTATGGAAGTGGCGGTGGGGGCGAGCGGGCGACCGAGAAGCCACCACGTCCCCTTCCTCCACCACCACCTCCTCCTCCTCCTCGCCGTTGGCAAGAGAGCGAAATGGTTGCAGGAGAGACGTCCCTCCGAGGGCCCCCTCCCCCCTTTTTTATTTTTATTTCTTTCTTAATACGGGAGGCACCCGCTCCTGCCGCTAACCGGGGCGGCGGCGAGGCGCTTGACCTCAGTCGTGAGGAGGAGGAACACACGCGGGCGGGCGCGCGCGCAAATAAAAATAAACGGCAGCGTCGAGTCCGCGTGCCTTCCCTCTCTCGGAGGGGGGGCTGCAATTCGCGGGCGGGGGGAAGCGGCCGCCTTCTTTCCAAGAAGGAGGGAAACTCAAGCTCTTCCTCCCTGCAGGGTTTACAAACCGAGCCTCCTCCTCCCCCCGACCCGCCGCCGCCTCCTCCTCCTCAAGTGTAATGGGTGCATCCCCCTTGCGTGGATCAGGAAATAGAACGGTAGCCGGACCAGCCCCGATTTTTTTTAAAAAAGAAAAAAAATGCCCCCAGCTTCCTTTAGTGTAGAAGATACTGATCCGGGGGGAGCTTAATTGTCCCCAACTCGGACCCCCCCCCCGGGCGCGCCTCCCTTAAAAGCCTCTAGCAAGTTCGCTTCCCCACCCCAGGATTCTCCTGCGCTTTCCCGCCCCTTTCTCAGTAGGGAGTTCCCTGGCATTGTCACGGGGGGGGGAACGGGGACAGCCCAGTCTCTGCAGCTAGAAGAGGCCGAGGCACAGCCTGGGGGGACACACAGGCTCGGAGCTGATCTGGAACGCCCCCCCCACCGGGCTTCCTTCTGGATCTAGCCAGATCGCTTCCACCGAACGTTGAACGGGAGGTCACATTAAAATTACAACAACAAAGCTTTTATCTTTTTAATTATATATATATAAAAAACCCCACATGGCTTTAAAGTTGTGCTGAAAAAGTGCTTTGAGGTTAAAAGGCCTTCAAGGGTTGTTTTTCTTAATAAAGTATTTTGGATCAAAACTGTATTCTTTGAACACTTTGTTTATCTCACAGCTCTGCGTGTGGATAGTTTTGAAAGCCAGGGTACTTAGTACAGTGAAAGCAAAGTTCTGCGGTGGAGACCATATAGGCAATGCTTGGTGCTCCAGTTTCACTTTTGGCTATTCAGTTGTTCAGCACTGCCTGGCCACAATGCTTAGGATTTATAGTTGTGTTACATGAGACGGTTCAGTGATTATTAGCAATTTTCTTCTATGTTTACAGTGTTTGTATTGCAACATAAAATGGGACTCTGCAGAGTAACAAAAATAATACACGGGGGGATGAGTTCAACCAAATGATGTTACACTGGCTGAGGCCTAGTTTCAGTTGTGGATGAAGATGAATAATTATCCTGAGTTGGGTGGGAAACTCATTGGTGTACAGCCAGTCATTCTCAAGACCAGTTGGCTCTCCATGGCCCAGGCTGGTGCAGGCAGTATTTTCATTCTCGTTTGTTGGTAGAGTGCATTTTTTAAAAAATCATTGAAACTAATGGGAGAGGAATTCCTATTCCCAGGTCAAAAGTGGTGTAGGTAAGGTGCCCATTCTAGGAAGAGCAAGCACGTTCTTACTGTTCAGAGCTAAGCCCCCTCCCCTGCTTCCTGGATTATTGGGTTTTGTGGCCTGCAACAGTAGAAGGAATTTTGGCCAATGTAAAGGAGGTTCATCACATAGTGCAGTTTGTTTGTTTATAAGCTAGACAACATATTAGCCCATACTAAAAAATGAGTTTCACCACATATATGCTTGGCAATCTCAAAGACTCCCTCAGTAGTTCACATCTTCTAAAGTTCCAGTTTGTTTTAGTCAAGCTTTGGTCTCCTGTGCACTATTTTCTGAAAACATCTTATATCTGAGCCACAGTTTTTCACATACAGTGAGGGTGACTACACGGGCTTTTTAGTCCGCTATTTGGAATGCTGCAGGGATGGGCTGGTGCACTCATCATGATGGCATCTTTTTTGCCCCAGAGTGTTTTCTTCCACACCTTTCTGCCCCTGTCAAGGGGATTCTATTTTTCTTGTGCAGGTAGGAACAACAAGCCTTACACTTTTCAATTTGCCAGTATTGCAAAGTGCCTTAATAATTGAGCTACTTTAGAATATTGGCAAGTGTCACTTCCCCTCTTTGGCAGAGGCCAGGGAAATGAAAAAATATTGACTATATATAGAGTATCACTGATGTGCTAACATCAGTTATAAGTTTTTTTAAAAAATTTTTTTATTTGCCTCACCTTAAAGGGACGGTTGAGAAACCGTCTGCAGTTGCATCAACAGCAATGGCTTCAACTGCAGGCAGTTTTTCAACCTGCTCTTGAGAGAAGGCAAAAGAAAGTTGTTCGGTTTTCTTTTTTCAAATAACTGATGCAGTCCATCAAAAATAGTCTATATAAAGTCCCTTTTTTTGTTTCCCTGGCCTCTGCTGAGCAGAAGTGATTAATTTGCCAATACAGTGGTGCCTTGCATTGCGACGTTAATTCGTTCCACAAAAATTGCTGTTGCACGAAAACGTCGCAATGTGAAATAAAAAAAGCCCATAGAAATGCATTAAACCGTGATTAATCCATTCCTATGGGCCTATATCTCACCGGTCAGCGAAGATCCTCCATAGCGCGGCCATTTCTGGTGCCTCTTAAGCGAGGAATCTGTCCCAGAAAATAGCGGGCGGCCATGTTTTTTCCCGGTGGCCATTTTGAAACCGCCGATCAGCTGTGCGAAAATTGTCGCTTTGCAATGATCGGTCATCGCAAAGCGAAAATACCCCATAGGGAACATCGCAAAATCTTCGTTGCAAAGAGATTTCGTCGCAAAACGAAGTGATCGCTAAGCGAGGCACCACTGTATTCTGAAGTGGGTACTCATTAAGCCACTTCACAATATTGACAAGAGCCATTTCTGTGTGAGTAGTCAGGTTTGACTACCCTGCTTCCCCAAAAATAAGACATAACCTGAAAATAAGGCCTAGTATGATTTTTCAGGATGCTCGTAATATAAGCCCTACCCCCCAAATAAGCCCTAGTTAAGTGAAACTCCGCCATTGTGCAGCAACCTGAAGATGACATGACTGTAAAATAAAACATCCCCTGAAAATAAGCCCTAATTTTTTTTGGAGCAAAAATCAATACAAGACTCTGGCTTATTTTCGGGGAAACACAGTAGGTTGTTCTAATCAAGCCTGACCGTTCCCAGGCAGCCCATACTAGCTTTCGCCCTGGTGCTAGTGTAGTACCATTGTTACTGCATTGCTTACTGTCTTTTCTGGCACATCCATTCTGTTTTTTTCATACTATCCAATATGCTATTATTTCATATACTGTACTTGTATTCGTCGTGTGGCAAGTCGCAGTACTGGTATACAACAACAAATGCAAGCATTGACTCTTGAACTAATGGCAATTTGCCTAGTTGTGATAACATCAGTAAGTAGTAGGATTCTAGCCACAGTTACTGACTCTTGGAACTTTTAGACTTTACAAAAAGCACATGACTTTTCCTCCAAAATATGCTCCAATAGTCATTCACCTTAGTTTTTTGGAGAAAAGTTGTTACATGAAAATGTATAATGTGATTTAAAAATGCTTTGTAGACATTGGCTGAAATCAAGTAGTAAATTGCATCTAGAGTTGGCCCATTGAATCAGTGGGAGTTTGGTGAATGAACACCTGTGTAAGTTCTCTTGGTTCAGTGAGCCCAATCTAGTTGTGACTACTGGATTTCAGCCATTTAGTATAGAAGCCAAGGGCACTTTTTCTATAACCTTCCTCGATAGTATTTGCAACCAGTGTAGCCTTGCACAGAGGAAGCTGTTTAATAGAGAGCCCCATCTGTAGATCATTTGTTTATCCTCTTAGAAAGATTTGTCCTTTGTGTCTTCAAAGGTACAGTACAGTACCTGCTTGCATCCTTTAGATCTGACATCAAGCTTTCTTTGACACCCCAGTCACCGTCTGCTTATCAAACTTCACATGACGTGTTTACCAATATGTGGTAGCTTATAATCTATGACAGGTTTCATCACAGGGTGATGGGGAGATGTTGAAATCCTCATTTTGT